AGAAAGAAAGAAAGAAAGAAAGAAAGAAAGAAAGAAAGAAAGAAAGAAAGAAAGAAAGAAAGAAAGAAAGAAAGAAAGGAAGGAAGGAAGAAAGGAAGAAAGTTGTCAATGGGTATGGATTACCACAGGGCCATTTGAGATCTTGAGACAAGGGGGTTTTCGGTGTCATTAAACTGAAAATCCCAGAGGCATTCAGAGCAGACCAAGGCTTCCTGGAGGAAGTCAGGCTGGGACAGGCAGCAAGAAGTCATGGTACTGAAGCATCCAACCCTTTATTCCATCACTCGACAGGTATCAGCACATACTAGGTAGTAGGCACTGGGGAGACAGAGAAAAAAAGACAGTCCCTGCCATCAAAAACTCCAGTCCACAAGAAAGAGATTGACAGGTTGTTGCACTGAGTGGTAAGTGCTGTGTTGTGAATCCCATGGCTGGAAGTTGGTAGAGGGCTTTAGAGAAGATGTAATATTTGACTAGTGTCTTAGAAGGGGAGTAGAAGTTTGCCCCGTGGAGGATGTATCCCATACCAAGGACAGAAGAAGCCTCGGGCCGTTGGCCGTTTTCTGGAGAAGTTCTCCCTGAGCACGCCCAGGCGGGAGAGGAGTCCCTCCCCGACGGCGGCAGCCTCACCCACCCCTGGGCTCTGCGGCAGGGCGGCCAGACGGCGCTGATGCTGGGAGTCAGCCACGACAGGGAGGACATGGTCCAAGCGCTGCTGAGCTGCCAGGCAGATGTCAACCTGCAGGACCACGATGGATCGTCGGCCCTCATGCTGGCCTGTCACCATGGCAACGCCGACATGGTGCGGCTGCTCCTGGCACACCCGGCCTGTGACAGCAGCCTGACGGACAAGGTGAGACTCATAAGCATTGACAAGCAGGTCTTTCCCTTCCTGAAAACTGCCCTGCCAGCCCTCAGTACTGAAGAAACCATATGGCAACAACAGACCCATCCTCAGAACTGACCTGTTGTGGGATTTAAATGAAGTGATCCATGGTAAATGCTGGAAGCCTTGGATCTGGGAAGCCCCAAACCCTAGCCTTTCACAACCTTCATGAGGACATGTGCCGAAACCTGGCCTTGGCCCTGAACCTCATCTGGTCATGGCAATGACAGCATGTGGGCTTTAAGGCAGCAGCTTGGATGGAGAGCCTCTGCTGTTCATGGGGGCTCCCGACAGGCTGGAGGAAGGAACCAAGTGTAAATCATGTCCACTCTCTAACAGTGACCCACCTTACAGAATAACTCATCTCATCAAGCCAACCTGCTTGAGGCTGCAACTGCAGACACATGCTTCTTAAATAAACTTCCTTGCAAGGCGATGGTGATGATCATGATAATGAAGATGATGATAGTGGCAATGATAACAGTTCACATGTACCAAGTGCTTTCTCTCTGACAGGTACTATACTAAGCATTTAGCATGGGCCATCTTATTTAAATCCCACAACTACCTTGTTAGGTTGACTCAGTTAATGCCACTCGTTTGCTCACAAGAAAATGGAGGGACCGAGTGGTTAAGCAGCATACCCAAGAACACATAGCAAGTGGAACCCATCTCCATCAAATTCTTCAACCCACATTCCTAATCGCTGCATCATCCTCATTGTTGTCACATTGCAGGGACTACATTTCTGGTTCCCTGCTGAATCCTCAGCACCTAGTAGAGTGTCTGCCACATATCAGGTCAATGAATTAACTGTTGAATGAACGAACCCCTAAACTTCAGAGGTAAATCTTTGGGATGCGATCCTGTGACTGGTATTTGTAGCAGGTAATATTTCTAGAGTACTCACAGGAGCTGAACTCTTTCCATGCATTACCTCACTAATTCTCAATAATCCAGTGAGGTAGATACTGCAATCCCCATTTTTTTTACTGATAAGAAAACAGAGGCCGAGAGAGTTTATATAACTATCTTAAAGCCACAAGTTGCTGATTCCCGGAGCAGGGTTTCAAGCCCAGGTCTGACATTAGTGTCCTTAATGGTGGCACTATAACTTAATGCTTTAAACAAACTTCTCTATACTTTCCTAACAGCAGCAGTTCAAAAGAATAAAGGCCTGGAGAGGGGAAGAGAGTTGCCTTCCTTTCCAGGGACAGCGCCTCCTACTGGGCCACCTCTTAACTACCCTTTTTGTTCCATCAGTGGGTCAAGCTGCTAGGTGCCTGGTATCACACACTAGGAAGCAGGCACTCCAGTTCAGTGTCTGCAGGTTCCAGGAACCCCAGCTCTGCCCCGAAGCTATTTCTGAGATAATTAGAGAGCACAGACCCTCTTGAAATGCATGTGGGAACAGTGGTGGGCTGCTGGAAATAAGAACCTCCTGTTTCAAACATTACATAGTCAGACGTAGGATCACGTTAATGAGCTCCCTGCAGGGTCGCCCTGGGGGAGAAGGAGGCAGCTCATTAATCTAGAGTAGGCCCAGGGTCCTCTTAAGAATGACCCTCCCATTGCCCCAGGAGGCAGGCCTGTGAGACTGGGGCCTGAGCTTTGGAAGTCCCTGCTTAGCTGGGATAATCGAGCAGTGACTGAGAGCGTCTCGTGGATACCTCTGGGGATCTGTCACAGATAAGAGAGAGGTAAGGCTGCGGCTGCTTTCAGGAGGTAGCGGAAAGTCACGGTGGGAGGGCTCTGTTGTACTTCAGTCAACTCCAGTGATTGTTAGAAGTGCGGATTTTAAACACTCATGGGTTTGAAACTGGGTTCAGTGACTGTGCTTTTGGCCCATTCACCTAACCACTCGGAGCCTCTGTATGCTTGTCTGTAAGTGCGGATGGTAATAGACCTAAATATGGAAATGTTTGTAATGCCGGCATCCTACATCTGGGAGGTACTCAGTTGATGGTAACTGTAATTTTTATAAACAGGTGAACAGTGAGAACTGGAATGAAACAGCTACTAACTACATCACTGAGTAGGGTCCTCAGCATTTACAGGCAGAGTCTGGGGGGAAGAGGGAGCATGAAGGTCTGGAGTTAGGCAGGGGAGCCCATCAAAGGGAGACTGGCCTGGGAGGAGCCAAGTGGTTTACATACTTGGTTTAGTCTGGTGGCTCTCATTCCAGGGTGATTTTGCCCTCTAAGGAGATTTGGCAATTTCATTTTTGTCACAAGTGAGGGTGGGGGTGTTCTTGGCATATAGTTGTTAGAGGCCAGAAATGCTGCTAAACATCCTACAATGCACAGGAACAATGAAGAATTACAAATGATCTGGCCCAACATGTCAATAGTGCCACAGTTGAGAGCCCCTGGTATAGGCAAGTGCTAAAATCCAGGTGGGATTAGACAACCATCTCAGTCAAGTGCTACATCCAGAAGAGCCAGGCGGGGTTGAGGACCAAGTCAGCTGCAGTTCAGGGCAGAGCTCGCAGCCTAGAAGGGAGAAACTGAACAGCTAAATAGGAGATGGCTGTGGAAGCCTGTCACAGCGGAAGGTGGAGAGGGCTAGAGAGGCCTGCGAGCACAGGGGTGGCCAGGCATTGAGGGCAGCAGCTCCACGGGGTGTCCTAGACCCCACCCATGGCCCAAGATTCACACCCAAAGTTCCCCAGGGTGACTTGGGTGAGAATTTCAGTGGCGGGTGGGGACTGCTGACTGGGGCCCTACTAAGCACCAAGCCCTGTGCCTCAAGCAAAATTGAAGGGCAGCTTTCAGCCCTTATCCTGGTCACCATATCGTTTCAATGTTCATCTTTCCTTTGGAGCTTGGGTACAGGGATTATTTCCTAGGGAATTCCCTAGGAAACCTGAGAGAATTAATGTCTTGATTGGTTTCTCTCATCTTACCAACAGTTACTAGTCAATATAAATGCAGATCTCCCAGAACAGTCAGCAAGGCATGTTCCTGAGACTTAGAAGGTAATTCAAGAAATCAACCCCCAGCCTCTGGGGGCTTCAAGAGAGATGAGAACAGGGAGGTGGTGGTGAGGACTGAGCCACAGGCCCCAGAGGCTCAGCCTCTGAAGGGCTTTGTATTGGCAGCTCCTCTGAAACACCCATCAGGCTGAAAGCTTCTTGAAGGCAGAGACTCTGCCTTGTTCATCTGTGCCTGACACATAGCAGATTCTTTTCATGTTGAAAGGCAACCCCACCACCATGCGCACTTGCACACACACACACACAGACACACAGGTGGGCTGGCTTCCTGAGTCCCCATGTCTCCAGGCCTGCAGTGTTGCTGAGCAGGGGCTCACCACACATGGCTCCCACTGGAGCACCACATGGGCTTGTTCCCAGGGCTCTGGCAGAGGCATTTGAGAGACACATTCTCACCAGGTGGCCTCTCAGCCACACTTTCAGAGCTGAATGGGGTCCCCCACTCTCCATTTGAGGAATCCACAGATGCAGGCTGTCATCTCCAGATGGGCCCTGTTCAAAGGTCCTTTGGGACAGGCCTTATTATCTTTCCCATAATAGCAGCAATCACACCATCTCCGAGGTTACACAGAGACTCAGGATGGACAAGCATAGCAATGATGTCCAGTCTGCCAGGGGGCAAGCCTAAATAAACCCGGCCCCTGTCCTGTGGGGCTTTTACAAGACGCTTCTGCTTAAAATCTTTGCTTTGTTCCTGACTTGTGCAATCTAAAAAAATTCATTAGGATCTCAGTTGCCCAGGATCTTCATCACGTTGAAATGAATACAGTGGCCCTCTGTTATCACCCAGCACCCCCTCTTTCTACAGTGTGTACTGAGAGCCAACCAGAGTGCAGGCACGGGGCCAGGCCGTTCACTCTGGGACCCAAGAACAGGCCAGACCCAGCACCAGACCTCATGGAGACTGAGGCTTATCAAAGAAGCCCACAAATACCACTTATAAAGGGTGGCAAAAGGAAGCTACAAGGAGTCAGGCCTTCGCAGGGAAAGACCTCATGTTTTGTGAGGCCCATAGGCCGCCCTTCAGGATCCTGATGCCCTCTGCGCACACACAGCCTCACCCTCTCCTCTGAGCTCCCTCTTCCCTTCTGGCACATTTGGGCTTTTGCTGTGCTTTATAGTTATTTACATGTGTGGAGCCCCGAGGACAGCTGGACCCCATCCTGGCGCCCAGAGGAAAGGCTGAAGAGTTTGAAGCTGAGTGTGAACACTTCCCACCTTCTGTGGATTTTTGACATTTTAGGAAGAAGTTGCCCCAATATACAGTAGAGTAGAAAACAATCAACCAACAATCTTGGGCCCCACCCCCGGCCACGTATCAAACTCCTTAATAATTAGGCGACAAAATGTAAAATTATTCACACTGTTGGTGCTAAATAAGGATCAGAGTTAGCCTCAGGTTTTGCCTGCAAACGAGTTACCAAAATAGTGGTTTTCAGAGACATCTAGATTTCAGAATTCTGGGTACGTGGTGGAGCCCATTAATGAAACTGGCTGTTCTTGCAGACGGTGTCCTTTGGGTCACGTTGGCCTTTCCCCTTGTCTTGCTGGCTGGTGCTGCCTGCAAGAGCCCGCTGAATACAGGTTCTTTAGACAGCGTCCCTGACAGCTTTCCACATCTCCAAAACAGTGGAAAAAGCACTAGGGTGTTGTGTATCAGGAACTAAAAATGTACACCTTCTTCCATACTGTGAGCCCACCTCTAAGAGCTGGTCCTTAGAAAATAATTAGAAATGAGAAAATGCTTTTGGCACTAAGTTTATGATGCTGAAGACTTGGAAACCACCTAAGTCTCCAATGGAAGGGAAATAGTTCCTTAAATTATGGAATATTATGTAACCAGTAAGAAAAGTTATATGTTCTGATGACTGTGTGAGAATGGGGGAAACCCTATAGCATACCATGCTAGGTTCAAAATACAAGCAACATTTAAAATTGATATACACTATCACTCCTCTATCAAAAAACCTATAACAGATTTGGACAGGAGAAAAGACTAGAGGGAGACATACCAAAATGCTAACTTTCATTTAGTTCTGTGTAATGGAATATCAGAAGAGTTATTTTCTTTTCTTTCTTCTGTTTTCCAATTTTTAAAAAAGTGTATTTAAAAACCAAGTGACACTTTATTTCCATTGACATGAATTTCCCAGGAGTGAATGTTGTTTCCGTGGAAGGCTGCCCGTTTCTCATGATTCTCGTGCCATTCGAGTCTCCTCCTGTCCAAGGGTCTCTGGATCCTTGGAATAGACTTTATGCCCCATGCATGCTCCCTGCTCCCAACTCACGCTTCCTTTCTGGGATGGGCGGCAGGCAGGATAAAATGTGTTTCTCCTTTCTCCCCGTAGGCTGGCCGAACAGCTTTGTCCATCGTTCTGAAATCGCCCGCCCATGTGGAAATTGCCGAGCTTCTGCAGGCCCACACAGAGCAGGGCAGGTCCCTGGGGCCCTAGGGGCTGTGGAAGAGCCGGCAGCCGGGAACAAAAGGCCCCTTCAGTGGACTCCTCCCTCGCCCTTGGAGAGGGCATGGGTCACAGCCAGGGGGCAGCCCCTCAAGAGAAGAAGCTATGTCAGATATGCACATACATTCCTGTTGTATCATTCTGCTCATTAGGACGCTTTGTAGTTTTGCCTTAGGTCAAACCCCCAACTCAGGCTGCGGAGCAGGGTGCAGGGTGCCTGGCGCACTGGTGTCATCTGAAGTCCCAGCCGTCTCCAGCCTGGAATTCCTCGTGAAGACTCTGTACCCTTTGTAGCACCGCTTAGCGAGCCAGCGGGCAGGAGTACATTAGAAAAACAATGCCTTTTACATGGAATTTTAAAGTGCACCATCTCTTTGGTTTTTGATCCACTATATATGAATATGTCCCCTTGAATATGCATGTCTAGAGAGGATGGGGGAGATTTAAGTGGTCGTCCCAGCATTGTTCCATAGGAGACCCTCGCACACAGGAGAAACTGAACAGACTCCGTTTGGAGCCTTTGCTCAGTTGGGGTGGAGAGAAATCTTAAATTCAGGCAAGGTAGAAAGAAACACGCTGGCATCGGTGCCAGATATGCAATCTTGACCATTTGTGAGTCATCGAGTGGCTCCAGTTTGCTCCAAGGAAATTGGAATTAATCAGGAAATCCAGTCCAGTGAAGCACACCATGTGCAGTCAGGCAGAGTCCATTACACCAGCTCTTCTGAAAGAAACAAGTGCATTGGACTGAGGATCCTCCTGGGGATGGGTTATTGTCATCCAGGAGCTACCACATGTCCTCCCCAGCTGTATCCATGGCCGTATGGTAAACCCAGCTCCTTTCCCCTCATAGCCCTGATGAGCGAATTAGGAGCCCCATGAAGCTCTGAGGTTTCTGAGGTCCCAGACTGCAGAACCTTCCAGCCTGGGCTGCAGCAGGAGTGTGGGAGCCAAGCAGGGCAGGGCCCACCCTAGGCTGACGTCTCTCTCCAGTGAACAGTTCTTTCTTTTTTAAAAAATATTTTTATTGATTTTTAAAATTTTCTTTTTTAGAGAAAGCGGGAGAGGGAGAGAGAGACAGAAACATCAATCAGCTGCCTCCTACTGAGGATCAAGCCCGAAACCCAGGCATGTACCGTGACCGGGAGTCAGACCTGTGACCCCTTGGTGCATGGGACGACACTCAGTCCACTGAGCCACACAGGCCAGGCTGAACAGTTCTTTCTTAAACTTCCATAATCCCAGGGCCCATATGCAGTAGCTCACACAGGGTTATCTACAGAGTTGTTCTTTCTTAAAGTCTCTTATGCACAAAATCACCTTATATAAAAAAGAAAGATATCATAGTTCAATAGGACTCACTTTAAAAACACGAAAGCTTGAGTTCTCATTTAGACTGAGATGCCAATTTGCTTGGTGCCCCTTGTGTGAGTCACAAAACCTCCTTGGGTCCCAGTTTCATCATCTTTAAAACAGAAATTATACAACCTACCTCCTGGGGGTGTTGTGCAAGGCACAGCTAATGGAAGTTTTGGAATCCACTTTTAATCCATGAAGACTGAGGACAAAAGTTTTTCCCTGGGATTCATAAGAGAGGCTCAGAGTTCAGAGCAGAGCACTGGCATAGGACGGTGTTGCTCAGAGGTGGAGAGAATGGCGAAATAATAAGCCAAAAATGCTTTAAATGGGCTTATTTTGACCTCAAAGCACATTTTAAGAGCTAAACAAACCTTACATTAATAAATATTCTACTCCAGTACTTCTCAAACTTTGATGTGCGTTCAGATCACCTGGAGATCTTGTTAGAATGTAGTGGGTCTGGGAGGGGAGGGGGCCTGAGATTTTGCATTTCTAACCAGTTCCCAGGGGATGCCGATGCTGCTGGGCCACACCACACTTGGAGTAGCAGGGTTCTGGCCTTTGACTGTTTGTATATTAAAATGCTGCCCCTGAATCTTTGGTCTCAAAGTTTCTTTGCATTTCTCTACTCTCGGTTCTTGGGAATTTGCAGTATGAGTCTTGTTTGCAATTGTGGTTCTGCCAATTGAGGGTCTATGTCTGCATCTCACATTAGGGTGGCAACTCTGATTTGGTCACATATTTTAAAAGTCTCATTTGGGTCCAGCTATTAAAAAGAGCTTATTTACCAGAGAAGGCAAACTGGTTTTTCTAGAGTCTGAAACCATTGAGTCATTATCAGAAAGACTTGTCCATCCTTCCTGAGATTTTTAACATCTTTTTAATCCTGAGTTTGGAACGTGAACACATGGTCTCATCCCTTACAACCATCCCATTCCACTGGAATGTCTGAGCTCAGAACATGGTGAGATGAACCAACACAGCCAGCTTCCCTTGGCTCTAGAATTCATTCAACAATATCTGTTAAAAGCAGCCAGGTGCCTAACACTGTTCCCAGCACTGGCTTTTAGAAAGCAGCCTAGACCTCCTCTGCAAAAACAGTGTCTAAGGTCACCATGACCCCGAACCCAGGCTCTCTAGGACCATAAGCCAAGGCTCCACTGATGAACACATTTCTCAAGTGCCTGACAGCACAGCCTCCAAGCAACATATATCAGCTTACTGGGGCCAGGTATTAAGCTTAGGCCTAGGGAGAGACTCATGGGTCTTTCAGCCCCCTCACTGCCTTCATAGAGTGTATGATCTTCCTTTGGAAGGCAGGACATATGTGCCAATAGTAAGGAATAAGACCAGGCAACATAGTTTATTCCACAAATATTTCTGGAGTGCTCACTAAGTGCAGTCCCTGGGCTTGCATGAGAGTTATCATAGTGACACAGTTCAGACTGTCACCTCATCATCTACTTGGGAAAACAGAATGGTGAGAAGGAAGCCCAGGATACTACAGGAGTGTCAATAAGAGGCACCAGAACTAATCTGAGGAAATCAAGGGAGGCTTCCTGAAAGAGGGGGTATCTGAACTGAAAACAAAGATTAGTGGATGTCACCCAGAAAAGGAAGAGTAAGAGGTAAGGTGAGGTGAGATGAGAGTGTGCCAGGCAGAGAAACCAATGCAGCCAAGGATGAACGATGGAAGAGCAGACATTTGGGGGCTTTCATTCAGTTTAGTAAAACTGTCACAGAGAGTTTGAGTGAGATGCTGAGATAAAAGGGTAGATTTGGAAGGGATGAGACTGATAAAACATGGAAACCAGATCATAAAGTACCCTAAAGTTCTAAGGCTTTGTTCTAAAGGCAATGGAAAGCTATTAAAAACCAGATTTATCATGGAGAAATTCATCTAGCCCTCATTTAACGCAGTACTCCCTTCTAAGTGCTGTGTTTGAGGCTGAGGACATATGATAGGCAAGGTAGACACAGAACTTACAATTTAACAAGGAAGGAAGACAAGTCATCATAGAATAACATGATGCGTGTCGTGACTGAGAAAGGACAAGGAGCATGGGGACACATAGGTGGGACCCTCAGCCAAGTCTGAGGGTGGGAGGGGGTCCAGGAGGGCTCTAGAGAAATATTTAAAGCTATCTGAAAGATGAATAGGCATTAGCCAGGCAAAGAGGAGCAGAGGAAGTAGCATGCATAAAACCTCTAGACAAGGGAGAACACTGATTTGGGCATTAAAAGAACTTCAGTGTTCTGGAATAAGGAAGGAAGGAAGGA